TTTAGCTAAAAATTAATGGTTTTATTTGTACTTACTGTTCTAAAAATCGTATCGTTAATTATCGTATCGATAAAGTACACATTATTGCACTATCCGATTACTGTAGTCCAATAGAAGAGCGAACGGTGTCGCTTCCTTCTTTAAACTCGACTTTTGCCAATTATCATCGCGGTAGAAAAATAGAGAAAACGATGCGAGTGACGAAATCAAAATTCAGGCATATGCATAATATTCCCCGCTATACGTCGTGCGTACAATAGCGACGTATAACGCGAATATAGAAATACGCGCGCGCGCGCGCGCCCTGCAATTTTGATGTATCGTCAATTTTCTTTGAAGAAACTGCAAAGTCTGCGAAAACGTTTTAAAACATTTTGTACGACTGTTCGTTTGCAACGAGAATCGCTAGTGATCAAGTTCAATTTGATAAAAAACAAAAAAGAAATTACGTTCTTGCGCGTTTAAAGGACTACTACGGTACAATTCTCGTTCTTCCGTTCGTTCGAGAAAACGGGTGGCACGCATCGAATATGTAAGTACTACTGTTCCAACAACGATACTTGTTCGTGTGCTTCACCATCGGAAATACTGAACGTTTCGATTCGCCTTCCGGGTTGAATGATCTTCTTTTGTCATAGCTTTGTATGTTTCACACTGTCTGTCCAGTAATTTTGTATTGTCATCGCCTCTAACGAATTTAGGAACGAATCATTATCCAAGCTGTACATTTCCTCGGAATTATCCTGCAAATAAACGGAAAACCATTGATATCTCTGATCGGTAATGTATTATCAAAAAACTTGATCTTTTATCAATTTTTGTTGTTGTGTAAGTCTTTACTTACGCGAATAGTGGAATCATCGATGTAACCTGAACTATCAGGATTGCTGCATTTATCGCTATTTAACGTTTGCGGCGGATTCAGGTACCTACGCCTGTAATGGAAATTTTCCTTCGTATTTAACATGTTCTCCAAATGGTAAAGTTCGTTGGAGTGGTAGACAAGCAAACGCCAGTTCGTAGCGCGTTAATTACCTGTACATAATGAATCCAAGGCTACCCATTGTGCTGAGTAGAACCACAGTCGCTAGGCAGCTTCCGGTAATAGCGGCAATGTCTACCGCCGATCTGGGCGCGCTCTCCTGCTTCGAGTTCTCGCTGTTGCTCTCATTGTAATCGGAAAGATGCTCTTCTTGTACCTGATCCCTTTGGAAATCTTTGGGAAACGCGCTACGCGCTCTGCTTAGCCGTGTAGATTCGCTCACTCCCACTTGAAAATCGATTTAATCGTTCATTCAACCAGTCAAAACATCCTCTTAATATTAACAGAATAAAGTTGCGTTGAACATTACCTTCGAGAATCGATGCAGCAGTAGCGAACAACTGTGGCTCGATGAACTCCTCGTCTATTTCAACGTCATCTGACCGATTAAACATTCTGATACCAGAACCACCGATCGACGACGATGACAAAGAGGAAGAGGACGAGGACGATTTCGTTTTATTCAGAACCAGCCTGATTCTAGACACCTCTTCTTGAAGAGGTAGCACCGTGAGATCCTCCACATCTACGTCCATGCTGGCGTTCCTGTTCCCATTTTCATCGACTTTCTCTTCCTGCTCGTACTTGGACCTGCCTCCAGTTTTATTCGTCGTTAGGATCCACGTGATTTTGCTGTCTTTCTTCGTTACTGGATTTCGGATCCTATCTGCGCTTACTGTGATCCTCTGAGGTGTGAAACTCTTGATAGATTCAAGATTCACGGCATTGCTCGTGTTTCCATAGTATTCTTCTATTAACGGACTTGTACTGGTCTCGACAACGCTAGCATGGACCTCCATGGGCGTTGAAATAGTGCTCGATGGACGATCCAAGATCACAGCAGTGTTTGTGGGAGGATGAAGACCAATAGCTTTTGCCACACGGAAGCTTGGACGTTGTTCTGGGTCTTCTGTCTCGATAGAGGTGATTTCGGGAGTTGGTTCTGAGCTCAGGCGATCCTGCACCTGGCCACGAGGCTCTGCCGTACTCGACGGCACTGGGTTTCCTAAGATCACTGAAAATGAACGTACAATCTTATTTCACAACGTTCTCATTAAATTTTAACGCGACTTTTTCACTATATTTCGGGTTTACACGGGTAAAAGTAAAAATCGGTGTTCTAAAACATTGTCGAAAGGTGAAAGCCAGACTAGTGACTCGAAGAATCAACGGGCAGACCTTGATCTCCGAGGTTCTTTTGTAATTTCACGGATGCAAGTTTCGCGGCAGTTCTATCTGGACCGTGAACAACGCTCTGCCCTCAGCCAGAGAGCGTGCGTGAAAGGCGTGAAAAAGTACACGGCATGTCCTTGATTCTAGCTTCGACTTATTTAGAACGCACCGAGAAATTGAGCGGTAACCCAGAACCAGTGCATCCACCAATGCAGCGTCATCGCGTCATCTGCGTGTACCTGCAACAGAGAACACCAAGCGGGAGAATCAGTCGGTTATGCAATTAACGATGGTAGAAAAGACAGGAAACTTGAGTAATTATGTAAAGAAACGAACGATTCATCCTATAAAATTCCTTTGATTTTTCCTTCAATCATACATTGTGCTGGAACCACTTTGACAAGCCTCTTTTTCTCTTCCTCAGAAGTGAGTGCTTCGTTCAATGCTTTGAGTATCGAAGGGAAAAATTGGTCCGGCCAAACATCGTACCGGATGAAAAGAGTTGGAACAACGAGACAACGTTTTGTCTCTGCTGCAGTCCTCTGAAAACGATGGAATTTTTCAAGCGATAGACCGTTTGAAGTAGTGTAGCTATGACTTTTCACTAGTTAGAAGCTTCTTTAAAGGTCTGCCAGTATATCTTGTAAGATTCAAGCGTTCGACTAAAAGATAAGCTTGTCGTGTGATGTTTTCGCCCTATATACGAAAATATCAGCCATTAAAAACGAACGATAGTCAACGAACTTTGATTCATAAACTCCTCATGTCTGTCAATGGACAATGGACCATTAGTCACGTGGATACGCGAGAATATCGGGCGTCGACGTGGACAGAGTGCCGCCACGCGAAAGATTGATTTAGTGAGCTCGAGCTAAGCACCGACCGCTTTTTAATCGACAACGCGGAAACTCCACGGATAACAATGAGCATTCTCGACCCGATAAACCGTCCCTCTCCGCGTTTTATCGCGTTTTATCGCGTTTCATCGCGTTTTTCCATCGACTAACCGAAAATGAATTCACGCACGGCTGAACGGCCGCACGGCTACTTTACCGTCCAGAAAATCGGATATTTAAGGTGAGTAATCGGTTGCTCAATCAGCCTGGCAGTGACTCACCGTGCGGGGACATGGAAGAGGGAGTTTTAAGAGCGGCTGGATAACTGTGGAATTTTGAACTCTTTGACCAGCCAGTCAATTTTAAACAACAGCTGTTGTATTATTACAGTTACAAAGTTCTGTGCCGCAGAAATATTCACAAGTCCTCATTTCTAAATACATTTCTCAACAGATACTTCGCCTCCCACCAAGTAAAAAGTTTGATCTCCTGTGACGGGCGGTTATTAAATGGCCAGAATAAAACTGCAGAACAAAACCGACGAAATACCTGGAAGAATGAATCACCCGTGTTAAGATGACTTCTCTTCTAGAAATCTTCGTCCAGAAAGTTCTCAGACGCAACGCAACGCACGGGTCACAAGGCGGAAAAGTTTTCGCACGGTTCAACTAGGTCCTGGCCCCTCTGGAGAAAACGAGAGAGACAGAGGTGTAGAAAAAAAAAGTCCGGTACAGTTACTCGCAGACCGTTCATGCTCTCCGGAGTGTGACCAGTCGTAGCTGGATGCGCCGCGACGAACGACGTCGCAATTTTCCTGCCTCTACCAGACCAGACTTAATCGAGATTCCGGAACAAGCTCAGCTCCGCGTTACCGCTCCCTTTCCGCTTGTTAAACGTTCCGATCGTTCTGCTGGTGACGTCAGACCACGGAACAGTCTGAAAAGAGAGCTGAGAAGCTGCGGATGGACGAGAGATGACTGAATGGCCTGTCACGTGCTCGCCAGTCAGACCGTACAATATCGAAAAGTGGTCTAATGATATTCCTTTGGGACTTCTTCTTCCAATGCTTTCAGTCTGATAAACCATTTAGAGATCATGTTTGATGGATGGTCAAAGGGTGAAATGTTGGTGATCGAATGAGTGAAACGAGACAGAAGTTTGTGAACCGAGGTGTCGCGAGTAACTGACTAGCGTTCCGAGGTTACACGCGTAGTTATGGATCGATGAATCATGCAGATAGTTGGTAACGGCTACGTTATCGATATCAAGAACACGAAGATAACGAACAGAAAAACTGCATCCTGAGAGAGGCGACCTGTGAGAGCCAGGCTCGCGCCACATCGTTTTCAGACCAAAAATGACTAATGGCTAATGGCATTCTACGCGCTCTCATTCACCGAATATACATACATCTGTTGGTGGGCGGTTGTTAATTCGAGCGAGGTTTAATCTGATTTCGAGCGTCAATTACGGAGAAGAAGCCGGCTGGCCTACTTGTCGCGCGAACCAAACGAAACGAATCAGCTGATTGATATGTTTCTCCAACACAGTCCTCCAGTTGTTAGTCCTCTATTTCTTCAAGCGTTTAGCGGGAGACTTATTTAATATGGAATTCTCATTTCTACATTCTCCTGTCTGTTAAAGGAATAAAAGAAATTTGTAGATACTTATTTCACGTGAAATCGTTCCTTTCAAGCTCATCTATCACCTACTTCTTCTCTTTCACGTACTTATTTAAAGAAAAGATCGACGGATATTTATAACAACTAGCCACGTTGTGGTGAAGCTCGAGGGAAATGGGTTTCCTTAGCGGCGCACAACCTCGGTGTTCGCAATAAAAGGCGTTGCGTAAGAGCATCTCGGCCACTCGTTTCCTCCAGCCGTACTTGATTCACTTTCCATATTTATTCACCAGGAAGGTCAACCTTCGGCTCGATTTTACGTAAATTCCCTCTCGTCTGACTTGGAAGGCTACTTCTCCAAAACTAGCTGACGCGTAGAAAGATTTCAACCACTGCTCCTCAATTTCTGATAATATTTTGTAAAATGTGCCCGAACGTTTGATGAAATGACACGTGGCAAAGCATGAGGGAAAATTATGCGAACGAGGAACTTTTCACGAGGCAGAGTGGCGGTTTAACAGCATGAGCATGCATTATCGAACAGCCAGGGGCTCTGCATTACTTCAGCTTCCGAGGCTAATGGCCATGAACTGATTAGTCCGGCGAGACCGTCTCTCTCTCTCTCTCTCTGCCGTTTGTTAACGGGCAATCCGGTCCGCTCCGAGCAAAGGTTAATTTTAGCAATTGACAACGTGGTTTCTAATTGCTCGTTAATCACGTTTACCCAATCGAGCTGCCGGCCTTCGTTAACCTTCTTCTTTCCTCTTGTTCTCTTTCAACCTGGCGTCCAATCATTTTTTCAAAAGCCTCGTCGACAACTTTCCACCGTTCCTCTAAAATGAAACAGACGTGTTGTGTAATGCGGAACAAAATGAAGGAATAATCGAACTGGATACACAGTTTCTTCTGCAAACTATATCGCGGACACGGATGTCTGATCCTCTCTTCCGCGTTTTCCGCTCGCAACAAGTGATTGTCAACACCTTCGCAGTCATGTGGGTCAGTCAACAACAAAAAGTTTCGAAGCAGCGTGACTCTTCATTTGTCACCGGATATTTTCGTAATCTTCAGCTTGGTGAATGACTCTATGTATATCCAGTGATTGACCAACGGCAATTACCCACCATCGCGAGTCCCTATCCGGTTCGACAACGTCGCCTTTTCCTCTTATCGTGTCCACGCAACAAACACGACCGTTTCTGACCCGACTGGACTGAAGAAAAGCGACAACCGTGGATTGTTTGAATTACCAAGATTGCATAATATCGTAGCTCGAGCGCTGGCTCGTCGATCAAGTAGAACGGGTTCCAGATCTTAGACCGTCCCACCAAAGATCGATATCAAATTAAGTATGGCTAAGGTCGCTCAAATGGCGGAAACCCTCGTTCAATTGCTTATCCTATCGGCTACGAAAGATGTACTTGCATATTTCGTTTAAAAAAGTGGAGAAACGTTAAACACCTTATGCATCTCTTACGCAATCAAGATAAGCTTGGATACTTGCGTAACTTCATTTAGAAAATAAACGTTACGCTAAAATGTATGTTATCACATGCCTCGGAGAACTTACACGTATGGCCAATACGGCTCCTGTTGGAGCACACCAAAGGAAGATTACAGATTGTCCTGGAGTAGCAGGGGAACGTTTCTATTTAATAACACGAAACGACGTTCACTCGAACGGTCCATCGAATTATTTCACCGTGAAAGAAATTCTCGGTGGAACATCTTCCGGTAACGAGTAACCGGCGAAACGATAAGCATCTCGAGGCTTGTCTAACCGAGCAGAATTGTGAGAATCTCGGCCATGGAAGGTAGAAAACTAGGTAAATCGCGTTCACGTTACAACTATGTACTTGAAATTTCGAGAATCCTCCAGTGAATTCTATCGTAAGGTTCCCCCGTTAGGAGGAATTCGAATTTCGAGGTCCAGTGGTTTCACGAATCGGCTATGGACACTTCTTTTCACTTTCGCGCCACTTCTTTCGTCTCACCTCGCGCAACACCGCTAAAATTCGTTTTGGTTCACTAACCGGCTGTTTTCTTTCCTGGACTGAACTGGCGCGCAACACGTGCTTCATGCTTTCACTCCCATTTTTCAATATTACGTCTTTTTCTCCCAGGTTTCCTTCGCAATTCGAGTAAATTTCGAAACAGTAAAATAACACAAATCTGTGGGATTAAATATGAATCAGAGATTGATCCTTCACTTGCCCCTTGAGATTCGTTCATAATTGCAATTCTTTCAACCTTTCTCCTCTTCAAACAAACCCTTTCATGAATTTTTCTCAATGATTCCAGCGAATCGATTGATCACGATGTTTCAAAGTCTTCGCCGGCGTTCTTTGTGCAGGTGCACGCACATACATAACTCGATAAGCTGTAATTCCGAATTAGAACCGGCGAACGCCTACCCGAATTAATCCAATTTCCCGGAGTCTATAACGAGATTTGAGCATCCTGCAGGGACGCGTGATAACGTAAACTCGATCACCGCAAACCGGTCTACAGACAGCTTAAATGTTACGCATCCTCATCATCAGCCAGCTACGGAATAATTCATTCTATAAGGGATGTCGAAAGTCTGGATTCTAGTCGACGACCACATGGGATAATCGCGTTCCGTATCGAGAAGCACCGGGAACAACCTAAGCCATACGGAAATCACCGCTCGTTTTTCCCTCACGATGTACTCTTCACGGTTGCGTGATTGATTACACCGGCTAAACTTTTAGGCTCGACATTAAGGCTCGAAACAGGCTAACGGGTAGTTCATCCCTGTGATAACGACGCAATTAAAAACGAATTTAACTTTACTCTCTGTGACTTGAAGCGACCAACGCGACAGCCTGGTAATAATTGGTTGCCACAATAACGAATCGTCTGGCCGTTACTAACGAGACACCACTGCGTTAATTGTTTCCCTCGTAGTACATCCGTTCTTCAGGCTTTCGCACCAATTCACCAAATGCTAAAGGAACAGAAACGATTCTCATCCAACCAGAGAATCGATCAATTTCAACTTCTACAAGCTTCCAAGCATCAATTCAAATCTAAAATTACCGTGCAACAACCAGAGATCGCGAACGTTCTCCAAGCGGAACATCAGTTTACAACCACAGATACATCTCTGATGAGAAAACTAGCGAAATCTTCTTGGAAATACAGACGCGACTTAAAATACTGTCACGCGTTAACTATCGGCTGCAACGTCTATTAATACAGCTGTTTAATACGTGGCTTTCTATATCAAGCAGTTCGAGGAGATCCCTGAATGAGCGTTGGTAGCGCATGACGGCGACGTCAGGAGGATATGATCCGGGGGAGAAAATACACACGCGGTCGTGTCTCGATAATAAGTCGTAATGTACACGTTTCTGAAAGCGAAAGCTTCTAATGCAACTGGTAGTCACGCTTGCGTTCGTGCAAAACCGGTGAGAAAGCCGCGGGGACTCGCTTTCCTCAGTCTGTTTATTAAAACGCGCTCACCATGCTCGATAAACCATCATTTTTACAACTTAGCCGCACGATTAAACGTACCTCGCCCCGTTAACAACCCATGGAACAGTCACCAAACCGAACAATTTGAGAAATCAATTTTTCTTTCGAGAATAGACTGAGTTGAGTGCAGAAGCCTCTCTACCAAAGGCAAGAGTCTATCACCGATATAACGTTCGCGATGATTTTCCATCTATTTTTGCGAGCATGATCGCGTGCTCCAACATGCTATTTCTCATAGTATAATTACCAGGTTGTAACATATGAAATGTTCCATTTTGTTCTTCTTTCCAATAAATATTTTTATCTTTTAACACTTTCGTATTTGAATGCACGTTTTTTAGGTTTCCGTGAATCATGAATTAGCACGATTTTCGCATCCTTTTCTGTACGAGCGGAAAAGTGGTTCAAATTTCCTAACCGAACTTCCTAAAACCAGGTGAAACTATCACGGCAGAGAAGTATTGTGCTCAACTTGAAGTAAGACACCAGAGCCCACGGATTATCATTTTTTTAATCATCTAGATCATTTCTGCAGCGAGAAAACATTTACGAATCAAGCAAATATAGAAAATACCATCAAAGAATTTATCGATACTAGAACGCCGACATTTTATGAAAATGGAATTAAAAAACTTGTCACTCGTTTGCAAAAATGTGTAGATTGTAACGGTTCCTATTTTGATTAATCAAATTTAGTATAAAACAGGTTACGATGATTTAAGCTGCGGTTTAAAATCGGACACTTCATATCTTACAACCTAATGGTATAATTATCGTATCGTTTCCTTCTCTTTCGAAACAGATGCTATTTTCAGCTGAGAGGATCAAGTGAACGAATAATATTTTGGCGGTGAAAAAAATTCAGCTAAAATCGATGCAGTTGAACGAAGGTCAGACACTCAAGGACTGGTTAATTGTCAGTTTCCTGTTTTCATTCGGAGACCCATCTTCCCGGTAATTTTCCCGCTGCGCTGGCCTTGTTTCCGCGAATGAACGCGTTATGCTGTGTAACACACTCCGTAAACAGGCTGC